ACGCGCTACTAAGGATAGGAACCTTATACTAGGTACCCAAGAAATTAATATAACCTGGTAAGTTAAGCTAAATAAAACATAAATACATTAGATCGCATTATACATTAATAATAACAGCTATCTAAACAATTAGGAAACGAAAACGTATCTGTCTAAGGAAGGCAAGACCTTCTTGTATAATAAACGGTAGTATATTCCTAGTACACTTTAAGAACAGCTTATTAAGGAAATACACGAGCACCTATTACACGGATATTAGGGTGTAGGGAAAACAATTAGCAGGCTAAGAAGATTATACGACTTTTCTAGTATTAAGTATTAATATAACGCAACTATTACGGGGTAAGAGAATTTATATTATAATAAGACCTATTTAAACGAATACACTTATAATAACGGGATAAGTCTACGTTAAATGCCTTATAATTCTAGAGGCCTTAATCTTGGTAAAAGGAACAAGCGAGTATATTAACTAGATTCTTAATTATTAACTTAAGAAGGGCGTTTTGCTCGTTTATCTTATAAGAAGGTTTACGAGATTAAATAAAAGGTCTTAAGACACGATTAGTTAACATAATAATATACGAGAAGAATAAAGAAGAAAAAATTACCTAAGCCCCTAGCCGGCCTATTTTAATAGCCTTAAGAATAAGACTAATAAAGGAGGGGTATTATATTACGAACGTTACTATACGAGACGCGGGAAGCTAGGCCGTACTAGTAAGGGGAGGCATAGCTACTAACTAATAAGAATATTAAGTTACGTGATAGCTTATTAGATTATATAAATAATTTAACGAGACGGGATTATTAGAATTATTAGGCGATCCAAATAATTTAGGTCTATAATAGAGAGATAAATAAATACTTAAAAAGAAGATATTCTCGTAGCTAAATAGTCTAGATCTTTATTAATTAATTTAAGTAATAGTCTTACTATTAAGAGTTATACTCTTAACGGCCTTATTATAATACTACTTAAAAGCTACTTTATAGCATTTAACCTAACTTACTTTCTAAGAAACAGAC